AACAGGAGTCACCGAGTGAACTAACCGAAGGAGACCCAGGACCACTCTTCTGGGTAGAGCGATGTCGTGATTGGTGTTGTTGGTCACGTTGATGGATAATATGGTAACATCACCTTCCTTTATAGTTGTAAGGGATTTATGTACTTCTAATCCTGAAGGCCAGGTAGCCAACTCATCTGGTTTAAACATTACCGGTGTCTTGCGGTGAATTGGTCCAGTGTTGGCACGACAAGGTAAACGAATAGTCTGTCCAGCAGGGATAGTATGTGCCTTCTTAGCGGATTTAACAAAGCAAAGCTCATCAGAATTAGTAGCACGTATGATACTTATCAAGGCTTGTGTGTCACTATCTCTACTTTGGTGGAAGCTTCTCATCGTCCTTCCTGGTAATTTTTCCCCATCCACCTCGCCTTCAGTGTTCTTGACCATTAGCTCTATGACATTACAACCAATGATGGGCTGTTCAATTTCCTCCTTCATTACTTAGAATGGAACTCTTACCTCTGCCTCATTCTCGTTTGATAACCTCACACCAATCTCTGCCCACCAACATTATGGGATATCAGTTCCATTTACTGCTTGCAAACTAAGAGAACCATTGGAACCAAGTAACTGTTCAACATCTTGTATTTGGACAGATAATAGCTGGCTCTTCAGAAAACCTTCGGACACAATGGAGACCTGGGCTCCATAAAACTTCTAAAGGCTTTTCATCTAGATAGCACTGCACCGAGCATTTCCTTCCCACCAGCTTGGCTATACACTTTTGTTGCCTTTGGGTAATATGGCAAGCATAACATTCTCATCTTGGGTATCTCCTAACCCTTTTCCTTTACGAGCTCTTTTCTCAGAGAGTTCTTTGATTGCCTTTCACAACACCTTGTGTTTTGGTCGATGAGCCTTCTGGTAACCCACGGAACATTACCGCACAGACTGGTACGCCGAACACTGCAATAACTGTGTATGGCAATCAAATTTCAGGCAACCACTACACTGGTGGGACTTCTCTTCCTCTGGCGAGGCTACTCCCTGTCCCGCAGGGTAGCCAGGGTGCGTTTCCCAGATGACTTCTATACTTGGTTTGACAATAGCGTGCAATGTGGTTTGAGCCACCACAGAGATAGCAGTGTGGGCAGCGGTCGCCTTCCCTCTTTCTCCTACGCTCTTGGCAATCAGGTGACCTTGCTCCCATGGTCACTCCATTTCCAGGACGAGAAGGCCTTATGGAGTCTACTTTATGGCTAATTGCTGTTTCACGGAGTTTCTCAACTTCCAACCGCACTGAAGCCAGATTTTCTTGCACGGCTTTCAGGGTTGCTAGAATATGCTGATCCTTGTGCTGCTCCTTCTTTGTACTTGTATCAGCTCCACTCTCTACTGTGTACACCTTAGCAGCACCTTGCCTGCAAGACTAAACTTATTACCTCTTTCTGTCTCTGCAGATATAGCTAGGCTCATGGCTTCTATGAGATCTTCATCTGCAACTTGAGGGTTTTTCCTCCGCAATTTTGTTCATAGCTCAAGCTTACTGTAAACAACACAATCAGAAACCCACAAAATCCACTAAATAAAACAGCGTTCCTACCTTTCACTAGCCTCACAACTACGTTCCACTACCTTTTTAACCAGCCGCCCGTAACAAACGCCCTCTCACACCACAATCCGTCACATTCTTCCCGCTAAAAGTCTTCCAGCGCAATCCGCTATGTGCTTGAACATGCGATAGCGGCGGTCCACATAAAGTCCTCGCACGAAGTAGTCAAACAAGCATCAATACAGGCAAATGCACACAGTTCCGTCGAAAAATCCTCTCAGACAGGCCCCCAGAAATGTTACACAGAATACCCACACGGTTTTAGGTTTTCCACGTGTATTCGTCACTAACTGAACATAAGATTATCCTCACAACTTTTTTATAGCTCGGTTCTCTCTAGCACATGGTTTTTGTTTTACGTCATATGACATCTACCAGGATGTCCAGTCCTTTCCGCGCGAGCGCCTGACACTTAACACAATTCCTCTAGGATACAACGTGATTTCACTACTTAACATTAATAAACCAGTTCAGTTCAATTCAAGGTCGATGTAAACTCGAAAGATGTATAACTAACTTCTAACTTTTCAAGAAATGGTTCTTAAGAAAACTGCCTGCGCTGCCAAATTAAATACCACACTATATAATGGGGGTGTATTCGAAACGTCTTTATTTCCATTGTGGAAGTAGTAGTAGTCATTCAATACTCCAAATATCTTGTATTTCCATTTTTTCACCGTGATTCTCGTTTGAGAATAGATAAGTATCAATTACGAAAATAATGTTATGCCAGGGAAATGATTTAAATCTGACACCTGAGTACTGAGTACACACCTGAGTATTCTTAGCTGGCATTAATTTGGCGCCAATTACATAGCAAAATCCAATGTTGTGCCTAAAAGCAGAGCATAGGGAGAGCAGAGGGGTTTTACGTCTGCGCATGTGCCAATAAAATTTGTTCGTCGCTTTCGGCGCCATTTCGGTATTTTCAGCGCGCTTCCGTGGGTTTTCAACTGGCGATCAACACCTTTTCGTCATATTTTTTGGAGAGGGATGAAGATTATGACAAGTTTACCACCATTTCTAACTCTGTGGATACTCGTGGAATTTGCTGGCTCTTCGGATGAGGATATGTTAAGGATCAAAGTGCGAACAAAACGCAAAAAAAGGCCGAAAACTTGAAGTTTGAGATTTGATTTACTGACGATCAAGATGTGCATATGAGACTAAAAATCTTCAAGGTTAGTCTTAAGATGTTGATGTTTTACTTCTATGAATCACGAAGTTTTATGTGGAAACGATCGTGAGATATTCGTTAAGAAAATAGAAGGTACTTTAGAATTTGATCTTATTTTACTTGAACTTTGAAATTAAAATTGCTTAAAGTTCGAGGTGGCCCCCAAGCTTCCAATCACTTCAAACAGGTGCGTCTTTTCTTTCTCTTTGTAGTCAGTTAGAGCACAAGGATTTAAAAAATGTTCCAGCTTCAGGATTGAGTTGCCCTTACTACAACCTTCGGCGGATTCGTCTTTGGGAGGTTGTGGTAGATTTTCCAAGTCATGGCTCACAACTGCTTTTGGCCTTTTTGCTCTCCAAGTCTGTTGCACATGGTATGTAGGCATGTGTCTTAACAACGGTTATAATCTTGCCTCAGTCATTTCCGGTTTTTTCTTATTTTTTTGCTGTGTTTTGGTGAGAATTTTTTTATTTGCCTTTTTGGGCTTGAAGTGCTAACTAGAGGATAAGCTTAGGGAAAACTGATTCATCACACGGCCCTCAAATCCCTCACCACTTTTAGTTCATTGTTTATTTATTTATTTATTCCGTCTAACCAGTTTATTTATCACAAAAAATGCGCGGGTTTTGTCTCA